TTCATCCTGATCATTTATGTATACATTTGTCTATATCTATCTCGATTCGTTTTGGCTGTTACAAACAACCGTTATGTGAACAAAATTAATATACCCTTGTGCACAAGTGCGCTCGGGTATAAAAATTTAGGCAAAGCATTCAAAGCAATTTCAGAACCTACATCAAAATGTGTTATGTTAAACCTTCAGCGGTAATGCATTACTTATACACTAAGGCCCACTTGCACAACGCCGAGTCATCTCCTTAACTAAGTTAATTTGATAAGTTGACAAAAACGTATGGATTTAACCCCCGATTTGACGTTAGCTCTGAGTTAAAAATATAAATTTTCGTTGTGCAAGTCAGCCTAAATAATAGGTCGCAGCAAAACTTCGATACCTTCATGATTGAAGCCAAAAAGCCATATTTTCACCTCTTTGAGGAACACTGAAAGCGATCTAATAAGCTGTATATCGTCGGGTAATTTGAGAAATAATTTACAAGACACTGTGGCGTAGAAGTTTCGAAAGAGTGTGGTGCGAAAGCTCGGAATTGCTATGTGAAATAACGATCTACTTCTCAGATTGTATGGATTGTATATAGGACTTTGAGTATATCCGCTCCTCATGAAAAAAATTTTCAAAACTTTAAAGTAGTACAAATGACGCAAAGGAAGAATATTTAACTTTTTGAAGAGATCCATGGAATGTGTCATGCGCCCAACGCTACATATTCTTCGAATAAGACACTTCTGCATGACTAAAAGCGGACGAACCTTATTAGCGTATGCACCACCCCAGCAACTGATTCCGTATTGTAATTTAGAGTGGATTAACCCATGGTATACCATTATCAATAATTTGTTGGAGCACAGTTTTTTCAAACTATAGAAGGAACGTACGGCTGATAGAAGGTAAAGCTTCATAGCCGAAATATGCGAAGACCAACTTAGGCTTTGGTCTATTATAACTCCTAAATACTTAAAGTCAGGAACAACTTCGATGTTAAAGCAATCATAACGTAACAGTTAAATTTACCGACAAAAATAAAAATTTGAACGATTAAATTGTGATTTTTATTATAAAGATCATAATCGTTACGGTCCCTGATTTTTTTTAGTAAATTCTTATTTTTAATGCATTAACCTATGAAAAACTATACAATACGTGATTAAATAAATAAATGTTGAGAAAATTTTCATATGTGCTCTTTCCGCTACAGTGCAATACACAATCGTAATTTACTATTGCTACAAATTGACTTTTGTGTAAATCGGTTACATACTTATTTTTGTATTGCAGTGTTCTATTTTCAATTCCCAGTTCTATTTAATTTTTATTTGCTTACAAATATGTATAACTACTTATGCTTGAGTGTGTGTGTGTGTGGTGCATTTAGAATTCCGTGTGAAAACTATTAGCCGTATCTATCATTTTTGATGTAAGGAAAATCTCTGCATTCTCAGTTAACTGAAAAGAGAAGGAATTGTTTTTGTTAAAAAACTAAACCATTTAAATCCTCCTACTCCTCATCACTCACCTCATTTAAAGTCAGTCGCCCATCTTTGTTCTCATCACACAAGCTGAAGAGCGTCGCCGCCTCTTGTAGCGCATAACGTGGCGTCTTCGGATTTACATAGTTCAACAACTCCTCTCTATCCGCTTTGCCATCGTTATTCTTATCAATTATGCGCTTAAATTCCTCCCTTCTCTCCACCACCGTTTGTGAGATGAGCGATTTTCTGCGCAAATCTTCATCATCATCCACATTCACTTCGGAAAACTCTTCGATTGTCAGCTGATCATCGCCATCCTGATCGAATTGTCGCAACAGATCGTCAACTAATTCGAGTAAATTTGATATACTCGATTCTGGATGCCGAAACGAGAGATATTCATCGATTGTCAGACTAAAAAGATCGGTGCGCGCCGCTTCGGACCAACGCGCCTTATCGCGCATCATATCTTCGCGCGCCTTCCTATTCAATGCGGTGTGTTTGATTTCGTTGTGCTCATCAATGTCTGCCTCCGTCATGCCGTGCTCTTTGAGAAAGAAATGATGGTATTCCTCCCATGTGATTAAACCGTCAGCGGGCGCTATGTCGACGCGCTGAAATTCGCGTGGATTATTTTGTATTGCCTCCTCAATGTGATCGATGATCTTTTGATTGATATATACGGCGAGTTCTTGGATTGTCAACTGTGAGTTGTGATCGCGATCGGCACTAAAGGTAAAGAGGAGAGTAATGAAAGTATCTTGGGTTAGTTCAGGCAGTATTTAGGTATACAAAATAGAAATAGGGAGTTACAACACTAGGAGGCTTCCCATTGTCTGACGAGACGCGACTGCTATTAGAGAAAAACCTATTTTTTTGATGGTGCTCGAACTAAGGACCCTGAACCTATCGAGTGGCCACGGCAGCCGCCACTCATACGAGTACAAAATAATAATTGAAAATATAGAGGTAGTTATGTAAATATTGCTGCCGTGGTAATTTTCCCCGGGAACCCAAATGACTTAAAGACTATTTAGCCATCTCAAGCGGAGATGGGCGAAAGTCAAGCAAAATTTTTGATTTAGTTTTGGCCAAGCTCTAATTTGCTGATAAAGCCTTCTCATACATCTTTTATTTGACTTATTATCGTTAAAAAGTCTGATTAAATTTAAATTGACTTTTTACAGGTGGCAGCCCTCTTTAGAAACATATTAAAAATAAAAAATTCTTATACCGTTTCCGATTGACATCCATATTAAAACTTTTTCTACTTTTGAAACAATGAGATTTAACTTTTAAGCAGGTGGCAACCCTCTTCAAAATATTTGTAAAATAAAGCTTTCTGAAGCCTGATTCGTTTGCCACTCATACTGCAGTACTTGATTTAACTTACAAATAAAATTTAATTTTCCTTTTTAAATAGGAGGCAATTCTCTTAACAATGTTTTCGTAATAAAGCTTTTCGTTTGGCATACATATTGTAAAATTTCGATAAACATATAATCTAGAGTATAACTTTCTTTTTTGAGCTGGTGGCATCCCTTTTAGAAAAATATGATGTAGGTTTATTCAGGTCATGGGCTATCTGTATGCCAAATGTGATAAAAAAAAATTCACACACCCACTCACAAACTTTCACATTTATGTATACCATTAGTAGGAGTTTATTTAACTTTTTATTTAAATTTCTGACAATATATTAAAATATTTAATTTAACTTATTAATTAAATTGTTTTTAACTTTTTTAACAGGTGGCAACCCTCATAAAGAATATTTCGGAAATAAGTGGTTTGGAAAGCCCTTAGGTTTGGCACCTACATTGTTGTGCTACCTCTCTTAACTTATTAATCAATCGATTTTAANCAATGAAAGTATCTCGGGTTAGTTCAGGCAGTATTTAGGTATACAAAATAGAAATAGGGAGTTACAACACTAGGAGGTTTCCCATTGTCTGACGAGACGCGACTGCTATTAGAGAAAAACCTATTTTTTTGATGGTGCTCGAACTAAGNTAATGAAAGTATCTTGGGTTAGTTCAGGCAGTATTTAGGTATACAAAATAGAAATAGGGAGTTACAACACTAGGAGGCTTCCCATTGTCTGACGAGACGCGACTGCTATTAGAGAAAAACCTATTTTTTTGATGGTGCTCGAACTAAGGACCCTGAACCTATCGAGTGGCCACGGCAGCCGCCACTCATACGAGTACAAAATAATAATTGAAAATATAGAGGTAGTTATGTAAATATTGCTGCCGTGGTAATTTTCCCCGGGAACCCAAATGACTTAAAGACTATTTAGCCATCTCAAGCGGAGATGGGCGAAAGTCAAGCAAAATTTTTGATTTAGTTTTGGCCAAGCTCTAATTTGCTGATAAAGCCTTCTCATACATCTTTTATTTGACTTATTATCGTTAAAAAGTCTGATTAAATTTAAATTGACTTTTTACAGGTGGCAGCCCTCTTTAGAAACATATTAAAAATAAAAAATTCTTCTACCGTTTCCGATTGACATCCATATTAAAACTTTTTCTACTTTTGAAACAATGAGATTTAACTTTTAAGCAGGTGGCAACCCTCTTTAAAATATTTGTAAAATAAAGCTTTCTGAAGCCTGATTCGTTTGCCACTCATACTGCAGTACTTGATTTAACTGACAAATAAAATTTAATTTTCCTTTTTAAATAGGAGGCAATTCTCTTAACAATGTTTTCGTAATAAAGCTTTTCGTTTGGCATACATATTGTAAAATTTCGATAAACATATAATCTAGAGTATAACTTTCTTTTTTGAGCTGGTGGCATCCCTTTTAGAAAAATATGATATAGGTTTATTCAGGTCATGGGCTATCTGTATGCCAAATGTGATAAAAAAAAATTCACACACCCACTCACAAACTTTCACATTTATGTATACCATTAGTAGGAGTTTATTTAACTTTTTATTTAAATTTCTGACAATATATTAAAATATTTAATTTAACTTATTAATTAAATTGTTTTTAACTTTTTTAACAGGTGGCAACCCTCATAAAGAATATTTCGGAAATAAGTGGTTTGGAAAGCCCTTAGGTTTGGCACCTACATTGTTGTGCTACCTCTCTTAACTTATTAATCAATCGATTTTAACCTTTTTAACAGGTGGCAACCACCTCAAGGATATTTTCGAGATAAATCATTTTGGAAACCCTTTAGTTTCACACCTAAAATGTTGTAATGTTTTATTTAACTTAATTATTAATTGATGTTAACTTTTTAAAAAGGTGGCAACTCTCTCAAAAATTACCTTATACTTATGCTAATCCAGATTATAACTATCTGTGTATNCTACCGTTTCCGATTGACATCCATATTAAAACTTTTTCTACTTTTGAAACAATGAGATTTAACTTTTAAGCAGGTGGCAACCCTCTTTAAAATATTTGTAAAATAAAGCTTTCTGAAGCCTGATTCGTTTGCCACTCATACTGCAGTACTTGATTTAACTGACAAATAAAATTTAATTTTCCTTTTTAAATAGGAGGCAATTCTCTTAACANATACCGTTTCCGATTGACATCCATATTAAAACTTTTTCTACTTTTGAAACAATGAGATTTAACTTTTAAGCAGGTGGCAACCCTCTTCAAAATATTTGTAAAATAAAGCTTTCTGAAGCCTGATTCGTTTGCCACTCATACTGCAGTACTTGATTTAACTTACAAATAAAATTTAATTTTCCTTTTTAAATAGGAGGCAATTCTCTTAACAATGTTTTCGTAATAAAGCTTTTCGTTTGGCATACATATTGTAAAATTTCGATAAACATATAATCTAGAGTATAACTTTCTTTTTTGAGCTGGTGGCATCCCTTTTAGAAAAATATGATGTAGGTTTATTCAGGTCATGGGCTATCTGTATGCCAAATGTGATAAAAAAAAATTCACACACCCACTCACAAACTTTCACATTTATGTATACCATTAGTAGGAGTTTATTTAACTTTTTATTTAAATTTCTGACAATATATTAAAATATTTAATTTAACTTATTAATTAAATTGTTTTTAACTTTTTTAACAGGTGGCAACCCTCATAAAGANATAGGTTTATTCAGGTCACGGGCTATCTGTATGCCAAATGTGATAAAAAAAACTCACACACCCACTCACAAACTTTCACATTTATGTATACCATTAGTAGGAGTTTATTTAACTTTTTATTTAAATTTCTGGCAATATATTAAAATATTTAATTTAACTTATTAATTAAATTGTTTTTAACTTTTTTAACAGGTGGCAACCCTCATAAAGAATATTTCGGAAATAAGTGGTTTGGAAAGCCCTTAGGTTTGGCACCTACATTGTTGTGCTACCTCTCTTAACTTATTAATCAATCGATTTTAACCTTTTTAACAGGTGGCAACCACCTTAAGGATATTTTCGAGATAAATCATTTTGGAAACCCTTTAGTTTCACACCTAAAATGTTGTAATGTTTTATTTAACTTAATTATTAATTGATGTTAACTTTTTAAAAAGGTGGCAACTCTCTCAAAAATTACCTTATACTTATGCTAATCCAGATTATAACTATCTGTGTATTAATTTACATACATATGTAAAGTAGGAACTGGCTGAGGAATTGGCGAACCGCGCTTCTCAGGCCTGACACGGTCTTCTTAGGCAAAGAAGGAATGATCTATAACCCCTGAAAGGACTGATTACGGGGCACAATTCATGATGACGAAATATGGTCACCATAGGCATCATCGAAGATCCACTGTGCACATCTTGTTTGGAGGATAAGGAAAGTACAGGGCATTTTCTCTGCCGCTGTTCGGCCTTCGCCAGCCTTAGGTGGTACGTTTTTGGATCGGATGTATTGATATTGGGCGAGATACATTCTCTTTTCCTCAACTAACTGCTAAGATTCATAAAGGCGTCTGGTAAGTTTGCAGATGAAATCCCACTCCGCCTATACACACCTTTTCCTCTAAATCCTGTGCATAAAAGCGTTAACAGTTATTAGTTGAATTTGAAATGCGTTTTCAAAATTATACCAATTATCTTTGTGTATTTTCTCTTTGGTCCTGAGTATAGTTCTTGGTAATGTAAGCCGTTGTAATTCAGTTGTCGCAAAAAAAATTGCAAATTTTCCATTCAATTAACGTAAATTGCCGCTTAAAACTTTTTAACTTAGCCACTAAAAATAGTTAAAGCTCTGCCTGGCTGCTTGCAAGTAAATATCTTTGGTAAACTTCATTCAACCGAAACTAACTTTCGACTGCTTACATATGTATATACGAGCACATACATATGTACCTATACATACGATGTATGTATGTAGCATAAATGTAAAATACTTTTAAGTTTATCACAACTTTTTGTTAAACAGCTCATTTTACGCCCACATAATCCGTGAAAGTGTTCGTGCACGAACGTGTATGTACATAGAGACCCAACAGTAAATCGAATTAGTTCAGAACTATGGCGGACCCAGCTCACCGAGAGGCAGGCGCTGGTTCTCGATCCATTCCAGCGCAACCAGATGAAAAATTGGTTCGGTTCGGTTGAGCGGTTGGGACCGTTTTTGAATTTTTGGACGGGTTCGTCAAAGCGGTTTTTTGGTCTTTGAGCCGAGGTTTCGGTTCGGTTCAACGCTTCGGAAAATAACACAAAAAAAAGCGCAAGTTTAAGTGTCAAGTGCCTGTCAAATGACATTTGATATTACACATGGTAAACAAACGTGCT